TTAGGGCCTATGTTATGATGAGCTAGTGGGAGGAAAGCAAGTATATGTATGATGGCTTGGCCTGTAGCTATAGAGTTCTTCACGCTTAGTCTTCTGTCATAACCACCACCTTCGGATCACCTCTGGTCACCTATAGTTACCTTTAGCACCTTTAGCCACCACTAGTATTTGCTCGTATCTTTAGACTTTTTAGACACTTATATTACCCATTTTTAAACCTTTAGTTCTCCAAATTATCTCCAGTAGATCTTTAGTCATCCCTCGCGATCCATCCGACCTCTTCTCGCCCTTCTATTCCACCTCAGGTCAAACGCCAACGCTCCAATTTGACACTCCACATATACAGATTATGCAGAAGGCAATCCTGACAGAAGGTGAATTTTTCATCGATTTCAAAAAATAGTGTTGTGTGCTGGCACGACGTTAAATAAATAAATAGAAAAAAACATCATTTTTGCCAGAAAGCTGCGCAGCGTTCCTCGCTACCTGTATCACCAATTTGACATCGTGATAATTATTTTTATATCTTCATTACCCTCCTACCATCTTTTCGCTTTCCGTGCTCTAACATGGCGAGCGGGGTGCTGGTGTGGGTAAATCCAGCGGTTTCGACGCGTTGCAAAATGCGAGAATGGCCCCAACAAACAACGGCAGCGGAGCGCAGACAGCTCCTAAGGTTAGAAACCTTGAAATCCTGGTGAAACTATTGAAACAGGTTAGACTCATCGTAATGGGAGAGATGGATGAGGAGGACTTACCCTCAATGGAGGATGTGAACGAGGCCGTGAAGGCCTTCAACGCACACAAAAGGGCCCGGACGGAAATGACCCAGAAGTAGTCTCCCATCGAGGAGAGGATGATGGCGCTCGAGGAGGTTGTCAAAAAGAGCCTCGCGGATCCCGCTCGAAAAGCTGCACCAGCAGTGGTTTCGGGCGCGCCGAGACCAAGGAGCAACGCGTCGGTCGTGGCTCCGCAAATGATGAAGACAGCGATTAGAATAAGAATCGATGGCGCACAAAACTTGCAGCCACAAGAGCTGCTCTCAAAGGCACAACAACATATTCAAGGCGCATTTGCAATTCGACAGATTCGAAGAAACGACACCGAGGTGTTTGTCCAGTCGGCGTTTGTCCAGTCGGCGTCCCAGAGAGACGCGGCGCTTAACATGCAACAACCAACGGATTTTAAAATTTTTCGGCAAGAATTTCCTGTTGAGGTTTCCGGAGTCCCACTACGGACAAGAATTGAGGGTGGCAGAGATGCCAACAACTACGCCATCATCAGGGAGATTGAGACGGCGACGAAGGCACGTATTCCAGGCCTGGTAATTAGCAGAATACGATGGCTACATGATGGAAAGGAGCATCAGCGATCGAAGAAAAACGGTCGCAATCGAGGTTCAATTGTGGTCAGCTTCCCATCGGAGGCAATGCAAACGGAGGTAGTGCGACAGGGCCTTGTTATCAACGCTATGCTCTTCATCGCGCAGGTGTGGTCGCCACGGGCTCAGCCAATGCAGTGTTACAACTGCAGCCAATGGGGACACATGCAGGCGTCGTGTGGAAAGGCAGCCAGGTGCGGTGAGTGCGCTGGCGCTCACCAAACTCGGGACTGTCCGAGGAAAAGGGTTTCTTGTGCCAACTACGGCAAGGAGCACCGTTCGTGGCAGAAAGCAGCGTTTCGGACCTACCAGGTTTACAAGGGTAGTGTGGAGAAAGCTCGGATGGAGCTGTTATCGAGGACGGTAGATATTTGGAATGAAAAACCAACAATGGCGCCAACACAAACAGCCAGACCAACTGATGATCAAGGATTTACTTTGGTCACCAGTAAAAAGGCTGAAGGACTCAAACGAGGGCCAGGACGACCGCGTAAGGTAGTCGAAGCCCCAGTGGCACCAACCATCGCCTCGACAGCAGCACCGTCACCGGGGCCAACTCTTCGAACACTTCGAAGACCAAAGCCGAGTGAGGAGGTGCCTTCTCTTTTTAATTTCTCATAACGATGGTCTGATTGAAGGGGGAGTTAATGAATTTCGAGGAAAGTTTACATAATTGCGGTTGAAAGGAACGTCCTCAGCATAAAGCCGGGTCGGTTCAAAGTGGCTGGACATCGGGTTTTGTTTGTCGAAAGCTTTTTCCCTTACCAAAGCGGCTTACCGTCTTCATGGTTCTGTAAATATATACCGCATAGGACGTTAAACGAGACTAATTCAATTCAATTCAATTCGAATAAATGAGTGTGTAGATAATTGTAAGAAAAGAAAAAGAAGCACGAATAGTTGTAGTTATAATACACACAATAAATCATATATATATATTTATATTTTAAGGAATCTGATTTCGAGAGCAAGTATCCACACGCAGCTGAATATATAGCTGGTATGCAGTATACTCTTAACTCTACTGTCGCATAAATTACAACATTTATTAATGATCAATTCTTTCTCCTAGCTCTTTCTAACTCCTGCTGTCTCCCGTACGCTGCTTTCAGTGAAAACATTTTTCAGAAACATAAACTTCCACGCATTACAGTGAAACAGAGAAACCTCCAGCTTGGAAAAAATGATAATCCCTCTCGTAAAATTAATCAGATAACCTATGTTACCCTTGATATACATGGCCGACGAGAAAGGTTGTGGAGATACGTCATTAAAGACCTACATTACGACTTAATCCTTGGTGAGTGATGGGCTGAGAGAAATAATGTTGTGTGCGAAGCTAAAAGCCATACCCTCTTTCCCAAAAAAGGGGATCAAAAACTGAAAATACTTGAAAAAGGCTGGATGGAAAGAAGTTATGTCAGAAATAAGACCAAATATATCCGGGAAGGGAAGCTCTTGCTCGCGCTCGCATTTTCTGCTTTTACGAAGAAAGCTCAAAATAGCACACAAGATCTCAAGTTAGCATCAGTATCAAATTCAGACATCAATAAAGCATTACAGAAGCTAAATAATAAACGAGAAAAGCCCACTATCGAATCAGTTGATAAGCAACTCCCCAAGCAGCTAATTGGATTCGAAGAAATGTTTTTAGAGGACGATTTCAGTGAGCTACCTCCTCACCGAGCTAGTCATGACATGGAAATAAAGTTGGAGAAGGATGAAAGCGACAATGAAAAGAGACCACCCTATGGACCTCTCTATGAAATGTCAAAAGAATAGTTGATAGTACTCCGGAAAACTCTCGCTGATCTCCTTGACAAAGGTTGGATACGAGCAAGTTCCTCACCGGCCAGGTCACCCGGGCTTTTTGCAAGGAAACCAGGAGGTGGCTTAAGGTTTTGTGTCGACTATTGTGGACTTAACGCAATTACAAAAAAAGATCGTTACACGCTCCCGCTAATAAGGGAAACCCTACGATGATTGGCTAAGGCCCGCTGGTTTACCAAAGTGGACGTTCGCACTGCCTTTAATCGTCTACGGATCAAAGAAGGAGATGAGTGGAAAACTGATTTTCGCTTACGCCAAGGTCTATTTGAATGGCAAGTTTGTCCCTTAGGATTATGTGGAGCACCAGCAACATTCCGGCATTTTATTAACAGCATCCTACAGGAGTTCCTTGATGTTTTCTGCCCGGCGAATGTTGATGATGTTATAGTCTATTCAGATGGAGACTTAGAAGATCACTTCCAAAAAGTTTCTAAAGTTATGAATGCACTGAAATCAGCAGGCTTGCGGCTTGATCTAGACAAATGTGCTTTTGGTGTGACAGAAAAAAAACGTAGGCTTTATCATTGAAGCTGGAGTTGGTGTCAAAGTAGACCCCGACAAAGTTCAAGCAATTTCTGAATGGGAAGAGCCAAATAACGTGTCAGAAGTACGATCTTTTCTTGGATTTTCAAATTTCTACAGAGAATTTATTCCTCGTTTCTCCTCAGTATGCGAGCCGCTTAATTATCATACCATGCAAGGTATACTTTTGCAATGGAACAAGCCCCAGAAGGATGCATTTAAATAACTAAAACAACTCCTGATAAGTGCACCAGTGCTTTCAATGTTTGATCCCGAAGCAGATACAGTTTTGGAAGCAGACTCATCAGGGTATGCTGTTGGAGGAGTCCTGTCGCAAGTAGACGAGAAAGGTAGGCTTCGACCTGTAGGCTTCTTCTCCAGGAATTTACTGCCAGCTGAGGCTAACTACGAAATCTATGACATAGAAATATTATCCGTAATTGTTACCATGAGACACTTTATGGGGGAACCCAGAAGTGTCGATAAGCCTTTTATCGTACTCTCTGATCATTGCAACCCACAGCATTTTATGACAACACGCCAACTTTCAGAACGGCAATTCCGACGGGCCGAAGAGATAGCAGTCTATCACTTTAGTATAAAATTTAGACCTGGCTCTGATTCGGCGAAACCTGATATTCTTTCTAGAAAAGCTGAGTTCAAGCCAAAAGATACAAATGATGAAACTTTCCGAAAAAGGGAGATTTAACTTTTGAAAGACAGCTGGTTCTCGTCTGATTCAGAAAAAAATGAATAATTGTCATCTCTAAGTCTCTCAGTAGTAGTTACAAGGCAACAAACCTGGCCTTCGGAGGTAGCTACAAATAAACCTCTACTTGAAACCGCCAAACTGTTGTGCTGGTGATGGCTAGGATTACGATGCACAAGGGTAATGAACACTGAGGTTGAAGGAAGAACTTTCCAGGTGGCTCCATGATGAGTAGAGGAACAATGGAGCACTGTATAGAAAGTGTTTATAGATTGTACTACCAGATGGAGGAGACTAGAATATTCCATGGTACTTTTTTGGGTAAATAAGGCGAGAGTCTAGCTACCTCAGATGTGTATATAATTAGCTCTTTCTACCTCCTAAAGTCCATACAGCTCTGAATCCCAAATATATCAGCAGTTCACATTGATTCATCGATAATCATCTGCAAACCTTCTGCCAATTAACCTCCGTAAGCTCTTACCTTTACAACATTATACTCCTCACCACTGTGCATTTGATAATGTAAAGAATTATGGGTGTGAAATAAATCTCGGATCAGACAGGCATATCTGTATTGCTGATTGATGGATACTCAGGGTTAGTTGATGATATCCCAATCTTAGAAAAGGCAGATTTGGCTTTAGGATACTTATCCCGAAGTTGAGAAAGGAGCTTATGTCTTGATGGGAATTTTTCGAAACATACAAGGCATTTGTGTTGGCCTTTATTTGCCATAATTTTTGGGTGTATTAAAGATTGATTACAGGTTTGGGGTGTTGAATTGACGACTGCTCTTTCTCCAATATGGCCGGTTGAAGTTTGGACTAGGTGAACAGTTTGAACATTGGAATTGTGGCCACTATCCTCATCAGCCTCAGAGCTCACATCATTGTTACTACTCTCCATGCCTTGGTAGTACGTCCAACTGTAAGGATCGTTTTGGTTAACTTTGGCAACGTAGTCAGAGTCATTCGCTTATTCTGCATGATACACTCGCTAGCCAGCAAACTTTTCATGTCAACTTCCAGAGATATTTCTCGAGTGCAGCTAATGCTTCCTTAGATATCACAGGGGTAGGTGTGGAAATACAATATATCTTGGAATGCCAAGAATAACTTATTTGTAAGTCCTGGTAATTTAACTATCAAATTCCCATTCTATATCACTGTTATCAATGCATCCTTCACCGAAAGTTTAATGTGCATTGGCAACAATTTCACACTAGCATTCCAGCAAATGGCTATGTCTCCAATGTAGGTTGTAGTTTTCTCGGATCTATTACTGACACACATGTATTTAGCTTTATATTCCTGGCTTATATATCTGTATGGACATAGATCTACGTCTACAGGGATCATAACTTATGATCCATGGATATTGATAAAAACTGGTCAAATACCACAGTTTTAAAAATGTGCCCACACGCAATCTCACTTTTTTAATCTCGGTTTTACTCAGAACTATACATCTCAATACAATATTTTCTATTCGAATCTTCCTTTTATTGTGAGGTTATGAATTGTACAAGAATGCTGGAATAGTAGAGGGAGGTGAAGGATATATGCCGAACAACGAAGCAGTTGAATAGAGCTTAAAGGTGAACCTTGGTAGGGTGACACGAAAAGAGTATGAATAGACCTTGAGAAATTGTGACGCCCCGACATTTTAGCGGCCACGTGGTCGTCAGTTCAATAGTTGGTAAGCCGACACAGGGTCAATCGAGGAATTCCAACAAATAGTTTCACACACACAAGTCTTATGCGTGACAAATCACGATACGAAAGGTCTGTCATGGATATTAGTTTCAATGCAAAACCCTGGGTTGTAGACAATAAACGACAGGAGGTTTTGTGTTGGCAACTTTATTTGAACAGTTGAACTTCTATGTACATATATACAGATTTATTAAGGAAATAATGACCCCTCAGTCTTTTTTTTTCTGCATCAGATTTTACTTGCGTATGCAGCTATCTAGCTATGACACAATATCAAAGAAAAGTACAGATAGGATGACTCAATTTACAAGAGGAGCACTCATGCCTCGGATTTCATTTGCAGGTACCACTGCAAAGTCATGGCGGCTTTTTCTTCACCCCAATTCAACCCTCATCCGTAAATACCCACCCAGGGAAACGTCTCAGAAACCCTGAGTTATCCAGACATGCCTCCATCATCTTTCAACTTTTCTCCGCACGAAATATGGTCTAAGGCATCTACTTCCCAAGTGGAGTAGGTGTCCAGGCTACTCAAACCATACCAGAGAACACCACCAGGAGGCAGATCACAACACCTTCCATCGTCGGCTTGTTTTTACAGTGTCAGCTGCACTCCCGCAAGCGACATCGTCTTACCACAAAAAGAACTGTCTCGACGCGCCAGACACGCGATTATCTACTGTTCAGCTTTCTCTGATTTGCTCCTTGCCATGCCGCCCCAGTCCTCCGCAGAGGCTGGCTCTTGGCCCCCTCTCCCACCCGTAAATTCGACGCGTCCTGACGTCGAAATGGTCCTCACAGGGCCACCTAGCCACCACCACAACAACACACAAGCAAACGCAGAACCGATCTGCGAGGCGAGCTGCCAATACTCGCCCCCAAACCCCCCCGAGTCAATGGGTGCTTCCTTGACTAACTTCCTCGCAGATGAAGCGAGGGCGTTTAACATACGCTTTGCAGAGGCTGAGCGTATCGTCAGTGGGTACATTAACCTACTGGCGGCCACAACCGACAAACAGCTCCGACGAGCTGTCGAAAAGAATGGAGAGGCTTTACAGGCCACTATCACAAACATCCTGCGCGGAAACCCCGAGCCCCAATCCAGTGGGCCATCAGAGGCTGCCAGTAGCAGCAAGACGACAACCCTCCCTACGTCGGCTACTAGGTCGGGAGGAAAGAATAGCGCGAGCACTTCACGACCAGTGCAAATACTCACGAGAGAAAGCAGCCAGGCGAAAGGCAAAGAGCCGGCTTCGACAAAGCCTACTAGGCCAATCGACATCGATTCTATACAAACCCCCATCGTTACTGAGGGGTCTTGGACTCAAGTAGTGAGGAAAAAGACTAAGGCCGCACCACCAGCAGCGACAAAATCGCAACCAGCCAGCGAGCCTAAGTCAAAAGCGACAGGGCCCACACAAACTACAAGGCCTGCTGCCTCAGCTCCCAAGTTAGCTCGCCCAGACGAGCGTGTTTTCCTGCAGGTCAAGCCCGACCACCCATGGAGACGCATGTCTCCTCATTACATCAAAATGAGCCTCGCAAGCAAGCTGCGCTTAGCTAACTCTGCAATTAAGCAGGTTACCATCGTCAACTCAGGGTTTGCGATACTAGCTGAAGGAGACGGAGCAAGAAACGCGCTCCTCTCAGGCGCCGTACTCCTGGAGAGCACGGAAATGAAACTGGAAGCTGCTTCCAACTGGATCTCAGTGTTGGCGCTTAATGTACCAGACAGACTCTTCACTTTAGAAGGACCAACGCCAGTAACATCGGAGATGGTAATGGAGGAAGCGACCTTAAAGACAGGCGTTAGACCGACCTCGGCTCGTGCCTTTGCAACAAGCATGGCTAGGCCGTCAACCGACTGGGTGTTGCATTTTGCAACCGGCAAGCCAAAGCTGGGAGAAAGACTTTTCGAAGAGAGCGGTCGCTTAAACGAACTTCAGCGTAAAGCCAAAATTGCGCAATGCAACCGATGCTGGGGACACCACCCAACTAAGATCTGTTCACGAGCAGAGCGCTGCTCTCGCTGTGGATCGATTGAGCACAAGGCTACTGAGTGCAAACAGCTCGTCCCAAGGTGCATCAATTGCCATGGGCCGCATGCCGCAACCGAGCCTAGCTGCATGGCCAGGCCGACGCGGACCGGCGGAAAGACTGTGCAACGCACAAGAGACCAGCTGTCGGTGATCCGGGAACAAGGTCAAAAAGAAAGAAACGCTTCGATCCGAGAGTTGGAAGCAAATCAGAAAGCCGCTGAGGCGACTGCTGAAAACGAAACTACAAACGTTGCTCAATGCCCGTAAGGGACCACAACCTTACCGAGCTACACACAACGGCAACAACGATCTTGTTCCTCTGCGCTAATTTGGGCAGAGGAGACCCCGCTACAGACATCATCCTGCAATCCGCCTGGGATTCAGGAACCGATGTCCTACTCATCCAGGAACCCTGGACTCAACACAAGGACGGCTTCTGGCTCACCAAGTCGCATCCTGGGTTCGACAAGCACTTGCCCCCTCATGTCACAGCCAACCCCGCAAGGCCACGATCCCTCATTTATACGCGAAAAGGGACCAAGTGCCTACAACTAGCAATCTGCGAGGCATCACCAGATCTTACCGCCGTAAAGGTTGAAGGAGTCACGTTTGTCTCAGTGTATCGCGCTCCTGGGGCAGACCTTTCGCCGCTCCTATCATGGGTCCCGTCTGGGCCCACAGTAGTTGGTGGAGATTTCAATGCCGTCCACCCTGACTGGCAGCCCATGGCCACCAGGCTACACGGTGACGGCCAAGTGCTCGCCAAATGGATGTCCGAGCACGGCATGGACCTATCTTCGACCCCGGGCGTCTCGACTCACGATCTTGGAAACACACTCGACCTAGTCTGGTCTAACGCGGGAGCCCTTGCAGACGTCTCGATAGAGCTTGACTCGACATCGGACCACAGAACTCTTGCAGGAGACGTCCCCCGTCCGAACTCGAAAGCTAGAGCTGTTATCAAAACAGGCCAACCGTTTCGAGTGACAGACGACGCCCTCGAAGACTTTGCAAAGGTGCTAGGTCGTTGGGCTCAAGGGATAGAGCTACAGCCGATGGCTTCAGTAGACGCGGTGGACAATCTTGCTGATAAGCTGGTCCAAACTATTAGCAACGCAATCAGGGTCACTGGTAGACGCGGGAGTGTGAAGAAGGGTAGGACAGCACCTTGGTGGACGTCGGAGTGCCTACAGGCCAAACGCGAATACAGGATATTCAGGGACGAAGAGAGCAGAAAGGACTTCCGTCGCATAGTCAAAAGTGCCAAACGCCAATACTGGCGGCGAAAGTTCTCCGAAGCAACAACCGACGTCGACATGTATCGGATGGCACGCTGGGCTAAGCCGCAACCTACATCAGCTGCTCCACCACTCCAAACTCCAGATGGTCTTGTTTCGGATCCAGGAAAGCGAGCAACTCTGTTGCGAGACCTCCTTCTCAGCCGGTTCACCAGTCAGAACGACGTCGACGCTGAGGACTTCGAGCCAGGACGCGGAAACCTCCCATGGGTCTCGAGCGTTACGGACGAGGAAGCCAAGTGGGTTACAACGGCCTGCCAAAACAAAGCCCCTGGAGCAGACGCGATTTCTGTTCGTCTTCTTAGGACAGCCTGGCCATCAATTGGTCACGCAGTGAGAGTACTCTTTGAGGGCTCACTGCGATTGAATCACTTTCCGAAGGCCTTCAAGCTAGCGGAAGTAATCCTTCTCCCCAAACCCGGCCGTAACCTCAGTACAGCTAAAGGATGGAGGCCTATCGCACTTCTCTCCTCCCTGGGTAAAGGTCTCGAGAGACTGATTGCAAGGCGAATGGCTTACACAGCCCTCACCTACAAGGCAGTCCCGCAGCAACTCTTTGGAGCACTCACTGGCAGGTCTGCCAACGACCTCGTCTCATGCGTCATCCACGATGTAGAACATGCAATGAAACGGCAGAAGAAAGCAGTCCTAGTCACTTTGGACGTTCAGGGTGCATTCGATGCTGTACTTCACGGACGGCTGCTGCAGAGGATGAACAAGATGGGGTGGCCTAAACCAGCTATCACCTGGATAAAGTCCTTCCTACAAGAACGATCTGCTCGCGTACGACACGAGGACGGAGTCACAGACCCGGTATTCCTAGAATGCGGGCTGCCACAAGGATCGCCTCTTTCCCCAATTCTTTTTCTGTTCTACATGGCCGAAGTCGTGGGAGGCAGTAGTTGGAGATTTGGCTATGCAGATGATGTTGCCATCCTCGGCATAGGTTCAACTCCAACTGAAGCCGCAGTAGCTGTCCAGAGAGAAGTCGATGCAGTCCTAGGGTGGGCCGCTGATAATGCCGTCTCTTTCGACCCAGATAAGGCCGAAGTAGTCTACTTCGTCGGCCCAAGATCCAGGGGACACGAACTTCCGGCTATAAGGGTAGGCACTCGCGATGTACAAGCATCCGACGACATCCGATGGCTCGGAGTACACCTTGATCGCGGTCTGACCTTCGAAAGTCACGTCGCAAAGTGGACCAGCAAAGCAATGCGGCTAGTGCAGCACTTCCGACGGCTCACTCAGTGCACCCAGGGACCAAGGCCTGACTTACTAACCACAGTCATTCGCACGGTAGTTCTGCCAATCGCGATGCATGCAGCGGAGGTCTGGTGCCCGGGGCCAACCAGGGAAACTTATCGAGGTGTGACGCGTAATTCCTACAAGAGACAGAGCAAAGTCATCGACCAAACCTCTGCCTTCGGAATCCGCGTGGCTCTACCAACCTGGCGCACGATGCCTGTTGCAGCACTGAGAAGAGAGACTGGTATTCCGCCAGCACAAATTCTGCTCGAGGAACGCAGGCTCAAGACTGCCGCACGAATCCGGACACTAGATGAGTACCATCCGCTTCGACTCCGGGCCACGGAAAGCACAGACAGCGCTCGTCACCGACTCGGCCTAAAGACATGCAACAAAACCAGACTTGGTTTCGACAGAGTGCATGATTCAAGGGTCCAGAGGATGTATCGACTCCTGCCAGAGGCCGAACTACCTCCAACGCTCCGACCTCCGGCCCCCCCTCAGCCAATTCCCCGCTGGACAAGCAAGAAAGAAGCAGCTAGGTTTATAAGAGAGTGGCTACCTACTCTCCCACCCGACTGTCTTTGCGTGTACAGTGATGGCTCTGGGGCGTCCACCGACAAAGTGTCATGGGCCTTTGTGACTTTTATCAGTGGCACAGGCAGGGTAATTGAGCAAAGCGGCTCAGGCAAAATAACCAATGCGGAGGTCTACGACGCGGAGGTTCATGGAGCTCTAGCTGCTCTTGAAGCAATCACTAGCAGGAAGCGAGATCGTGGTCGTAGCGCCATCTATATTCTGCTCGACAATTCTGCGACTGTCCAGGCCTTACTAACGGGAACAACAAGCTCATCATCCTGGAGGATTCAAAAGTTCTGCAAAATGGTCGCTAGAGCAGCAGCACCTGTTAAAGTAGGATGGATTCCGGGCCACGAAGGGCTGGTAGGAAATGAAATGGCTGATGAGCTCGCTCGAAGAGAGCTTAACTCGTCGGACGATACGAGGACGACACATGGGGTGATGACCCTCGCCTCTTCCGGAAGGAAAGCTCGCGAACTGGCCAGACAGATGGTTACAGACTGGTGGCATTCGAATCGCCCCAGACATTATGCAGACCTCGAACTCGAGATGCGACGCAAGAAACCGCCAGAACTAGCACTACCAAGGGCAGTCTACGCTCGCTTAATAGCCGCTCGCTTAATAGCCGCTCGAACCGGACATGGAGACTTCGCGGCTTATCATCGCCGCTTCAACCACACTGACGCTACACTTCACTGCGAGTGTGGGAGGGAAAAATCAATTGGTCACCTTGTCCAGTGTCGAAAAGCACTGGCAACATGGCGGCTGAAAAGCGGAAGGCGAAGGGCGCCAGCTATAGAAACAATGCTCGGATCAAGCGGGTGGCAACTGTTCAGGGACTATGTCCAGGAGAGCGGAATATACGCGGAGGCTAGCCGGGGGATGGCAGGGATACCTGTGACTCGGAGGTGATGAACGAAAGCCTAGGTGATCTGGCATGGAAGTAGGGATAGGAATCGAGGCTCGGGCGCGTGGTGGCCGAGGCGGAACGATGGAAGGGAGATTGTCAAAGTTTTTTCTTTTGTAATGCAGGACTTTGCGTGGAAGTTTTCTTTTCTTTTGTTTTGTTTTCAACTCTGGGCTGCTGTACTCGTCATGCTTCAACACATAGATGCGTTTCGGCATGGTTCCGGTCATTGAGGTGGGACGAGGCACTTGTACTTTACGGTAGTTAACCTGATCCGGCCCGACCCCACTCGTGCTCAAGCTCCAGTAGGAGTGCGACGGTAGTTACTTCACCTAGCACGTTAATGAACAAACAAACAAACAAACTCCCGCAAGCGAAGTCTTGGCGCGCCCAAAGCTCAATTTGTAAAACTCCGTGTCAAAATTCGAAATTTCACGCCCGTCGAAAACGTATCCCTCTTCTGTATCATCTTGTAAACTTGTCTTGATCCCTCTCACGTCCATTTCAGAGAGCTATCACCCAGATTTGTGCTCCATGCTTTGCTTCCTCTGTCGGGAATAAATATTGGCATGGGCGTGTATTTGGTGACCGGCTGAGGCCAGAGAAAGTCGACGAGAGGTATGGTCATTGGGGTGAGGATGTACTAGGTCGTACTTGTAGACTTGATGAAGCTTAGTTGAGAATCGGACCCTTTGGGAGTGAAAGATTGACATGGTGGAGTAATTTAAAATTTTGCCTCGTGGGCCAACTTCTTTGATTTTACGAAATTTGACTGAACTTGGCTCGGGGAGAATATTTCACTCCCAGGTTTGTAGAGGACACCGCGTACAGGTGTTCAGTCTTGCCCTCCTTGTTACTGCCATTGTGCCATAGCTTAATGCTGAGATGCTGCGTTAAGTCTGGTCAACCAAGTCAGGGACTCCCCTTGTGACATAGTCAATGCGTTGCAATGGTTACAATGTTATGATAGCAGCAGTTACTAATCAACATAAGCAATCAGATGCTGTGTTATAGCTGTAGACTACCATACCCCTGATTGTAGTAGCCGCTCTTGAGTACTTAAGGAAGGTCTAGGACTAGGTTTGTTCTGTAGCGTACTGTAATTATTCGAGACTTTGGATTGATCCCATCACCTTAAGCTTAACCTTATACCCCGACTCTGTCCAGTTTCGCCTCCATCTTGTCCCGCCTTCGTCCCATCCCGATCACATCCTATTCCAACGCCCGGGATACTTTTATGGGTAAAATGACGACAATTTTAGCAGCAAAACTTTAAACAAACAATATTGCTCGCCATTACTCGTCATTTCTCGCATTACAAATTATAAACGTAAACCATCTCCCTTGCAACATTCAGCCTTAGTTCAGGTGCGTAATTACATACCATGGTGCCTAGGCTACTGATTTACATCCTATCAGTCGTTGGTACCCTACCGTCCCCTGACCAGCTCGATGCAGCCGAGATGGTCCTATTTGCCAAATTTGTCTTTTAGCTGTATCTCCCGTTCAACAGGCATCGAACAAGTTTCTCGAATTGAGACTGCGGAATCATGTACCCGCAAACACATCACAGTGGTGTGGCAAAGGCCTCATGTGTATAATCTTCAAACCTGACCAAGGCAATCAAACGCGAGTCATTCAAATGATGGTGTCCATAACGAAATATCAGTTGTGACATGGGCTAGTGAACCACTCGGAGTGAGCCCCCATTAAAACTGAAAAAATAGTTGGGAAAGATGGACTAAAGATAATTGGATCTGGGTGGGAAGCATTGCGGGGTCAACAAGAACATCTCATTTGAAGTGGTCCACTCTAGGTAAATGAACTTATTTGAAGCATGGAATATATTAAATTTTTTAGACGTGTTTACGGCATGGCCAAGACTTCTCGAAGGATCTAGAGTACGGAGGGTGAGTGGGAAGATGATGGAGCTCCACCCATATACACTTTGGACTTTCTCATCTCAATAGGCACCACTATATAGCAAATAGGTGCCGAGCTAGAAATACGAATATCTAGATTGGCCGTCGCTCACATCATCCTTAAATTACAACTTGTTTCGTCCGTGACTTTTCTTTGAGTCCAGCCAATCAATAATCATGCGCTTTTCTAGCATAGCCATTATCTTTCAAAGCGCAAGCATCTTCGCGACAGTCCTTGCTGGTAGAGTAACAAATCATATACTTGACCAATGGAAAAATTTTGATTGCGAAGGCCGCGAATTTAAGGGAACTGTGCTTGATCCACTTCGTCAACAGGCGGCAAAGCGCGTACTCGACCGTGAAGTGCCGCCAGCTGATGAAAGTATGATCATGAATTTAAAAAGTCAGGTGGATAATTTAACATATGTCTTGTATGTTGATGATTACCCTGCTTCTTATTACTTTCAAAAGATAGAGGGTTATTCGACCTGTAAGCATTAGACCATCCTGAAATCAATGTTTCATGGCTGACTTTTGACTCAAGCATTGCGAGGCGGTGATTATTTTTATGAAACTGACTATATTTACGTACTTGATGGTTATGGTCGCGCATGTGCTATAATGATGAAGAAGTCCACGTATCATTACAGCGCTACCCGGTATGAAATTGCAAATGCACAAGCAACTTACCAGTTGTGTACTATATCTACCTAAAACATTCATCACTGTGTCAAAAATGTCAAGGTTAAGATTTTATTCGGATATTTAGTGGCTGGACTAGTAGAAGCCTCAGGACTGCCATCTGCTGAAATATGATATATCCTGGAAGGCCAAGAATAATTTATTTAGGTCTGGCTAATTAGACTAGCAAATTCCACATCCTACACTGATCGATTGATTTATTCTTGTCAGATTTTCTATTCAGTATCAAAATAGAAGCATGAAGACTGTAAGCCGCCTTGGTTAGTGAAAAGGCTTTTGACAAAATAAAGCCCACTATCCTGTAAGTCTAAACAGACCTGGCTTGATGCTGAGGATGTTCCTATCAACCATAACTTGATTAACTTCCCTTTCCATTAGACTAGGGCTAGGAGAAATTGAAAAGAGAAGGCAAACCCCCATTCGGTGAGGGCCGACGAAGTATTCCAAAAGTCAGCCCCGATAATAGTGCTAGTGTCGAGGGGATGGTTGGTGCCGACAGGGCTTCTATTACCTTTCGCAGTCGTCCCGGACCTCTTTTGGGTCCTTCAGCATTCTTACCTGTTACCAGAGTAAACACCTGATCATCAGTTGTTTTGATTCCTAGTTTTGGCGTCATTGGAGATTTATCACCCCATATTTTCGCCGTTCTCGATAACAGCTCCATCCGAGCTTTCTCCACACTTACCTTGGAGACTCGATAGGCCCGCCACGCTACTCTCTGCCATAAACAGTGTTCCCCCTCGTAGTTTCCACATGTTAAGCAAAGTTATACTAATTTGAATCTCTCTCAGAGTTTATTGAATTGATTGTTGTCTCCCATGAGGAATCTATCTAGGTACTATATACATCTTGAGTATCCTACTAATTCCAAATATAGACTGAGTATTAGATTGCCAATACGAACTGCTCAAATCTCTGTTCCATACATGGGTCTAAAATTGGCTGTTACATTATCATGGGCAATAGAAGGAGTGAAACAACAAGGGAGTTGTGCGTGTGAAATTGGCCATCCGTCTAGTCGCTAATTGTAACATTTGCATGACTAAGTTATTGCCCTTGATGTATCAGCCCAGTTTACTTGCTTGTAAACTACTCAACTTAAACATCATGAGATAACATTTAAACTTAGGGTAATCTGTTTGACACCACAAGAAACCCTCTTCGTCGGACAGTCCTGAGTTTAGTGAGCGCCAGCACACTCACTTTATCGGCCTGTCTTTTCACACGACTCCTGCTTGTATCCCCACTGGCTGCGGTTGAAGCAATGCATTGGCTAGGCTTGTGGTGACCACACCTGCGCAGTGGAGGGCATAGCCTTAATTACAAGGCAATTTCGGACCACTTCCGTTTGCATCGGCTGAGATGGGAGGCTGATTACAATGAACCTCTCTTCCAGCCATTTTTCTTAGACCGCTGGTGTTCCTCTCTACAGGTTAGTCATCTTAATCTGTAAATTGCAATGCCGTGAATCCAAGCCTTAGTCGCCGTCTCAATCTCCCTGATGATGGCGTGGTTTTCGGCATCTCTGCCGCCTTCGACTCTTGTCCGCAGTGGAACACCGAAATTTTCGACGGGAAAGTGATGGAAAATATTCTCTTTACACCATTATACGGACATATGATGAATTAAAGAAGACTTGATATTTTACAATCATAGGAACATTGGTCTTATACATTTGTGGGAGAAATTCCCACTAGTCTTGTCTGCATGTCTAACTTAGTAATGGCTAGGCACCTCTCGTCTACCATGATGAGCCGAGGTACACCGTAGTACGTATATATCCAAATGTATATGCAACAGTAGGTACGATTAGCGTACACGGGACATGTGTGGAGTGACTCGATCTTGTAGGGAACCTCCGACGAAACAGTTATGGAGTGAGTCCTACACTCGAGGGTCAGAATTTTCGACAGAACTTCTTGCCACGAAATTTAGAAGTGGTCTGCATGTTGCATGTTGAGTGCCACGTCTCTCCGGGATGCTGACCGGACGAGCACCTCGGTGTCGTTGCTGCGCATTTGACGAATAGCGCATGCGCCATCGATGTGCTCTTTCGCCTCTGATAGCAGCTCTTGAGCCTGCATTTTCTCCGCTCCGACGATTCTAATTCGTTCTGCCGCTTCGTTATTTGTGAAGCTACGACCGACGCGTAGATTGTTATTGGCGGCATGCGCGAAGCCACTCCTGGAGCAGCATTGCGAGCTGGATCCGCGGCGCTCTTCTTGACTACCTCCCCTAGTGCCATCATCCTCGCCTCGATTCGAGATGGATTCTGGGACGTCTCTGCCCAGGCCTGCTTGTGACAGTTCAAGACTTTACGGCTTCGTCGTCATGCTCCATCGTGTGTAATTCCTCATCCACTTCACCCATCACAACTAGTCTAAAATATTTTGATAGCTTCCCTAGAATTTTGAAGTTCTTCTCCTTTTGAACTGTCTGCGCTCCGCTGCCGTTGTTTGTGGTGGTCACTGTCGCTTTTTGCGCCGCGTCGAAATCGCTGGATTTACCCACACCCGACATACTGTAGCACGGAAAGTGAACAAATGAGAGGAGGGTAAAGGAGATGAACAAATATGGTTCATGTTGTCAAATTGCTGACAGGGGTAGCTTGGAATATTTTCATTTTTTTTCTTGTATTATTTAATGTGTATGCAGCTATAGAGCTATGACACATGACCGGTGCCATTGATACATATAGGATGACTCTTTTGACGTTAGAGACACTCATACTCTGGATTTCTTTCGCAAATACCACTGTGAAGTATGTTTGCTCACACAAATAGTCGACCCTCCTCCGTGAGTACCTGCTACAGGGAAATTCAAAGCCTTTGATTATCTAAGCATGCCTTCTTCATCCGTGCATACCAGCGCCGCGAGAAAAGTGGTTGTGTTTTGCCGGATTTGAACCAGCAATCCACTATCTCGAGTGGGATATATGTCCAAGCTATCCAGACTCTACTTGGCAGACCGGCCAAGACGATGTACCGCAGCACCATCAAACCATGGCGGTGTTTTTCATGTTGCATGCACTCTGGGAACCGAAGTCTTAGCACACGCACGAAGCTAGATTTGTTAGACTCATTGTCATAATTCCAAATTTCACGCCTGTTGTGACGCCCCGACATTTTTAGTGGCGACGTTGAGGTTTCTGGGCGCGCATTGTGTACCTAGTAAATGGTGGAGATAGGTGTAAGATTGGTATCATGTGGTGCCATGTGGCTCCTGACTACAATGGATCTTGTATAGAGCTTGAGACTAGTACCTGAATTCGATATGCCCTAAATGTAGGATATCTATGCGCTTATATACATCAGTAATCTACAGTCTCTTATGGGGTGTAATAGTACAATTGCCAAAATGACTAGGGTTAAATCCCTGTACTTATTGATTAGATTGGTATGGTCTTCATGCAGGCCCATGTCCAGTTTATCGACTAGTAATGCAAGCAGGGGTACTATCCAACAATATTCCATGAAAGTCGAAATAAATGGGGATGATTTTCAACACCAAAGTATATATACAATGGTCCTCATTTAAATTTAAATTTAAAAAAAAAATCAATTTGATTTTTGAATTTGATTTCAATTAACCCAATCAGGCAGCCCATGGGTCCATGCAGGTGACTATCCGCATTATTTACAATAGAGGAAACTATCAGGAAACTGGTAAACCTGTCCTGTAGCAGGTGAAGAATATTTACGGGTATCAACAACTCAGTAGAAACATCTTGATTCTTTTCTTCTGAAAATTGGTCCCCAGAAGTTATCACTTCTCTAGGTGGACCGTACGTTTAACTAGCTAATTTAAGGCAATCTATAATTGGACCCCGGGTATCCAAATGTGATCCAAACACCAAATAAACCTTACATACTTGCTAATGTCTAACAGAAAGCAATTTGGTGAAAACACCCTGATCCTGTCTTTTTATGTTCCTATCAATTTATTTGGTTTACCTTCAGGAAGTGCAGTGTACACTGTTCAGCCCGTGTGGATTCCGTCCTCTCCCCTTCCAGATCTATTTACTTTATCCGACGTTGCTACCTCGGCTTCCCCTGCCAGTCGAAACTGTTTTATCCACCCTTTGTTTAGTATCCACTGTGTAATTCTGGCCATGTCTTCTGGGCTGTTCATCATTGCTTCAAATGACCTGTCTTTAGCTTGTTGGAGAAAGTCGCCTCTTCCATTTGCCCACTGCGGACACGCCAACACCATATGCTTGACGTTTTGCGACGGATATCCACATTGACAGCTTGGCTTTTCTACTCCGGGTACTTTTCTTCTGCTCAGGTAAGAATTGAGTCCGATATGCTCCTTCCTTAGCTGAATGTCGACACTGCTTTGGGCCCTGGTTAGGTTACAGTGGATTCTTTAGGGTGTATCTTTGAAGTTCATTTTGACGCTGCCTGTTTGTTTATCAGTAAATATATTTGTTACTTTCCAAAAAAAAAAATCAATAGATATTCTCTAAAAATGCACATCTATTTCAAAAATTATTGCTCTGTATTACAAAAGTCTACATCGAAGCCAACAGTGTGGCTTGCAACAAAATTGAAAGCGTACTACATGTTTTGTATTAGTCTGCTCCGTCCCAATACTTTGTGTACCCTCCATTTGTTACGGGCTGTGCCCCGTTCGATTAGGCTGGGCTATCTTTCAGGCCTAGCCTCGTTCAAGGACTTTAGTCACGTGACCCAACGTGGAATTGTTTCTCATGACTCGAATCACTCAGTTAATTATGTTGAGGCTGGGAAACAGATCACTCAGTAGCGAAGGATTATATGTCAGGAATCAAGATCACTGATAGCTGCAGAGGGCATATTTAATGTAAAAGATTTCCTGTAATAAATCTCTATAAAAAAATATTAATTCTTTATGGTACAGTTTACTTGCGGTGTCCGTAATCCTCTTCGCCCTTAACACCGTTTTCCTTGAACACTACTATACATCTTTTGTACATGTTAACCACACTTAACAGAGGCTTCTTCCGAGTAATGCATCTGCTGTAACCCATT